CCGCAATGAAAAATATTTGTTGGTTCAAAATAAAATATTCAACACCATTGGTGATCGGTTTTTGGTACAACACATTGAGGTTTGAATTCAAATGGACGTATCGTGTTGGTCAACCCGAAGAGAGAACGTTCAAAATGGAATTGCCGCTGTAGTCGAACGAATGACATTAGGCATATGTATATATGTATAAGTGTGTGCGTATATGAAATTGGCAAAGGCCATATAATTTTTCTCACGTATAACCAAAGTAACCATATAATAGTAATAATAATAATAATAATAATCATAACAGTTATGTATGTATAAGAAGTCAAGTCGAGTTATGCAGTGCGTGGGCAATATGAGGGGAAAAGGGACGCAATGCGTCTGTTTCGGACCCGCCAATTTTATGTGACTTTTAAAGGGCACGTATATCCGTTTCTCTTGCTAGCAAGAAATAGGAAATGCTCCTTTAGACGCAATCATAAAATACATATATAAAGTTGTTCGAAAAAATTTATTCAAAACACCCTTCCTTCAGCCAACCACCGTCGCAGGCCAAATACGGCGGTAAAAACACGGAAAGGTGTAGGTACGCGCACACGTTTTACATATTGCTAGTCCGATCACACGATAACCTTTTCTAAGTATCATGGTAAAACAATACCAGAGGTTTTATACCACATTTCAATCCCCTGCCACGCCTAACCTAACCACCACTCTTCATCGCATGTTTTTATTGTCTTTTATGCAGACAACGGACACAGATGTCACAAGTTTACCTCACGCTGATCACGTGCAATTTCCCAACATAATTTATAAATTCAAATTATCTCCCAAGCGGCAGAAGCAAAGACGTCAATTATCATAAAAAAAAATAGAAAATTAAATAATTTGTATTTATAACACTTAAATATTTAAAGCCTGGACTTGATACTAGGCGTGTCTCGTGTGACACTCATCTTCAATTCAACACTTCAGTACTTCACTAGTAGGTATATGTAGGTATTTTGTAGTGCATTATCGTTGTGTAATGAGTAAACAAGAATGATATAACGCAGGGATCAAGAACGATTCTTTGCTATCCTACATTGGTATTCTATATTAGGTTTAGATTACAGTTCAGTTTTGATGACTATTTAAAAAATAATATTTTAAGTTATTGTTATAGTCATAATGTAATATTTTTTTAAAAATGTATTTCAGATTTGTCTATAGACACTACATTAATAAACACGTATTTTGAAAACTCCACTATTACTACTTGTTCAACAATGTGTGTTGATAGTTTTTCGTCAGATATTGCTTTACATGTTTACACTTAGCCACTTAGAGAAGCTAATATTACAATTGCCTTTGGAAAATGTACCAATTAGATGAAATCCACAATTCATAAACAAATAGGGTGATAAGAAACTCTTAGAGCACTTGTTTCACTAGTAATAAGTAATAAGTGATAAGTGATAACAGTATAGAATAAATATAAATAAAATTGATTTTAACACTAATACATTAATCCTCGTTTCGCTCAGAATTTAAAATCAGCGAGAAAAGTGAAAGTGAATTAGATATTTTTTGTATTTTAAAATGCATACAATTCGTTATAATACTTGAAACAAATTAAAAATATACTAGTATTCTATACTCTTCAATACAGTTCGTCACAGTTTTTGATTAACTCTTATGTACTTACATTAAATCAGAAAATAAATTCAGAGAAAATTTAAATCAAACAAAAAATATTTTTCCAAAAACTTCTTCACAAGTTGTTGGTAAAGTCAATGTATTTTGTGTACAATGTTTTGTAGATGTAATTTATTTGTACATGAAGTCATAAGCATATTACCCATTTAAATTTGACATAGTTATTTATGTGTACAATTTTAATAACGCATACCTTCATTCAAAGTGAAATATTTACAATCCAAAGAGTTCTGACGTAATAAAATATAATATGTACCTAGAAAATACATACAACCACAATGAATTGTTGTGCATTTTTATATTTTACAGACATTTTATGATTATATTTACAATAAAACGAAAACATTATAAAAAAAAAAATCGATTTGATGCAGAAATGGGAAAAAAGTCAAACTTCTTTCATGCTTGCAGACAGTCGGCTGTGCAATACGTGTACCTCTATACATATATTTTTTGAACAAACACCGTATAACTGGAGTCGTTATTGTCTATTGGCACATCGTCCCACTCTCAATAGTCCTTCGTACATACCAATCAATCGTTGAGCGCTTACTATACCAATAATACGCACTTATTGGCGTACACAGGATTTTTTGATTTGAGGGGGTGGGTAGGAGAGGCTTGAAAATAAATTACAATTTTATTTTTTCATTTTGTCCAGTCTAATCATTTCAGTCGTTTAGGTGGGGTATTTGAAGATTTTTGTACAACTTAAAGGACTTGACATCTCAACTTTTTCAGTAGAAAAAATGCTCTGATTATTAACTTCGATGGACATTTTGGAAAATTTTTCAATGATAGACAAATTAAATTTAAATTAATTTACATTTTTTTTAGATTTTATGCAGTATTTGATACAAATAAGTCTAAAATAATTTAATTTGAATACATTTTTTAATACAATTATTTTAAGAATTTCAAAAAATATAAGTTAAAAAATATTTTGTTAAACAGAACGTACCATCTCCTATTCTAATATAAAATAATTTGTAGGGGTGCTCTCAAAATAAAAAAAAAATAGGTAGAGGAACTCTGCCATACTGCACCCTCCTTACAATTATAGTATTAATATTACCTTACGACGTATGGTATGGAGGATAATAATACATAGTCATGCCTACAGGGGGCTAGCTGATATTTAGTCATATTTTAGGGGTTGTTTATTTTTACCAACTTAAACACATCATTTGTTTCATTTATCATAAAAATATAGTACTTATTGCACAATAAACTACAAACAATAATACAAAAAAGTACTATTAATTATGTTAAATTATAATCCCAAATAATATTTCTATAAAATAAATGAAATAAAATAAATTCTTACATTTTTAAATGTTGCTGTTATAAGGGTCTATGAAAAGATAAATTGACTCCGAAACTCGACCAAAGTATAGAATCCAAGTAACTTTGAAAAATGTTTTAAATTGTTACAAATCATTTCAATTGTACAGAATATTGCCAGCAGAAAAAAAAATTATATTATTAAGTAGTCGTCAAACGAGGACATATTTCCTTAAGGGGGGGGGGGGATTAGGTAATCATTTCAATGGCCAGAGCACTAAGCATGATAGGGGTAGTATGCTACGGTTCATATGGCGGAATGGAACGTGTCGTGCCCAACACTGTATTATTATCATAATCATCATCATCATCAAGGTAATAAAAATAGTATTATTATAATATATGTATCGCAGTAAATAAAAATGCAGTTTACACGTGCAGTAATAACCGTTTGTTTTGCATAATATAATAATATTGTTATAACGACGACGAATCCGCGAGCGATGTTACAAGTTGAAGGCCCTTGGCGGGCTAGCGTTCCATATAATATTATATAGGTGCCGTCGCGTGATCGATTTGTCGAACAAAGAAAACTCGCACCACCAACGCCGCCGCCACCGATAATATTATTCTATCCACCCTCTGTAATGTGTAGAGAGAGGTATACGTGTGTATATATATATATAATATCTACGACGAATACACACGCGTGTATATTATATTGTACACGGTTGCATTATAGTAGTCCGCGAGCGGTATCGCCCGCGCGTTCGAGAAATCCAATCCCTCCGCGGTCGATCCGGTTACACGACGACAAGAAATGTTACACGAGCGCTTACAAAACGCACTTTCCTCGGCTGTCCGCGGTGTGCGTGTAAAACACATCTCCCGCACCTGAACCGCGAACGCCTCCCACCCTCGCCGACTCGTATCGCCGCAGCCACCCCTATTTTCTCCTCCCCGTTCGATTTAGACGGATACGCCGCTGCTATGATGTTGTAACTGGCTATACCGTGGTATACTGCGAGTGTTTATTGGTATATTATAATATGCTATCGGATGTCGTCCGTTCCGCGCCCTTGAATCGTCCGTCGCCATAATGGTATTATAAGGTACGGGTTTTTTCTCCTCTTCCGAAGACAACCACCATCGTTTTACACCGTCGCCTGCACCCCCTTTTCCATCATACATAAAAGCACCATAGACACGAAAATAAACGTGCTTAGACAGTTACCTCAAATTAATGGGTGTTACCGCCCAGAGGAGACAATTTCGAGTTCTCCGGGAGGCGGTACACGAAGAACTTTCGAGACTCGATTATTATTATTATAGGATTAGAATCATATTTTATTTTTCTATATTTTATACTAATCTAGGCGATTTATTCGTTTCCTAGGATAATCCTATTTCTACAGCGGGAACACGTCGTCATCCTATTTGATTATTGAGTTACCTTACCTCTTGAGTATTAGATCGACCGCAATGCCTACAACGTTTAATCCTATATATTATACACTATATATTGATTCAATAATTTTTTACTACCTACCTAAGCTAAATGCGGTGTTGGCGTCACAGGCGTTAAATTTAAATTTAAATAAAACCCAATGCGTAGTGTAATTCTTTCACGAATAAATTTCCACGTCAGAAATATATTAATAAAATGCGGTATAACTTTTTGCCGAGGTTGCAAGGACAAAATTCAAAAGTAATACTGAAATTACGAGGTTTTTTTGGAAAAGAATATTGTAAGTTTTTGAAATATATTCGACAAAATTCAAAAGTTTTTATTTTTTTTCTCCGCTGAATTGCAAAAAAATAGCGTTTTAATATTACTTATTTTACGCACCATTCGTGTGGAAATAAACTTTTAATGACAAGCTGTCGGTGAGAAACGGTATATTACCATATTACCTACGGGTTTACCGAGATATCAACAAACAACAGCAGTGTCTATTGTTTTCTCTTCATATTTATTCCCTAGGTTATTTATCTATACAATATCTATCAACGAAGAAATATCGAAAACATACCTGGTGGCAATTCTTCAATGGTAATGGCTTGTGTTCCCAGTACGACAAACGTCACATACACGGAGAACAGTCCGTATAAAGCCGGCGGCATTTTCAATGATCTGTAAAACAAAACAAATCAGTTTTTTATTTCACTGTTTATATTTAGTGAAATGAACGTGAGTATACTTAGATACGCTTTAAATACTATAACATAATCTGTCGATTTATTAGGTATGTAAAGGATACGTCACGATAATACTATTATAATATGCATAAAATATTATGTACGGTGAACAAGACATTTGTGGATAACCACATTACATCTGCGTTTGTATTCTATTAACTCCCCGCAATAACTCAGTAATCCAATCGAAGAACATTTTCATAAGAGGAAATTGAACCCGAGACACAATAGCTGTTGCACTGAAATTTATTGTTTTTATGATTTAAGGGAGCTGACCCAATCGGTACGACCAGCAAGTGTGGGTTGTGTACGCCAGGACACTGTAGTAACTTGTATGCATATATATGTAAAATACTACTACAAAACATCTATGAAGATTTTTTTTTTTAACAGACCGAGTACTTTTTTTTGGAAATATTACTCGTTGTTGGTCGATATTCTGATCTGTCTTTACTGAAGTTGTTCGCTATTCAACCATAAACGTATTAAATCATTTAAATGTTTCCGAATAAAAATGTATGGCAAAATAGATTTATTGAATTTAGTTTTTTATGTTGATTTTGACCTACTTACATATTGTTCCATATCTATAAGTATTCAGATCGATTGTACTATGCGTAAACTGATTTTCTAATAAACATATGATTCATATATATATAGCTCTGAACAATGTATATAATTCATAACATGGGTACCTACCCTGTCAAACATACAAGTTGTGCAATATTGTGCATTGCCTACCATGCATTCCGAATACTTTACTATATTAGTCAGATGAACATGATATTATGATGTCAAGGGAAAATATAAATTCTAACTTTTAATTATTGTTGGTGAATGTTCAGACTGTATATAACTACGTTATAATTAAGTATTTAATACTTATTAATAGGTATGTACTGTAAAAAGCAAACTTATAGTTATAATCTAAGTTTTGAAAGTAGATTATTATCTACTTAGCTTAGAGTAGTTAATGTACCTACAATAACTATATATTATTTTCTGTTTTACCAGAATTTCCAGAACAGTTTTCATAGTTATTATTAACCATTCCTAAACGTTGATACGACATCACAGATTATCGAAGAAATAAAATATAATACCATATCAAATCGACGTGTACTTTTTTTTATAATAAAAAAATATTTGATATTTTATACACGAAAAGAAAAAAATGTCATTACATCGTACAACTATAACGTAATGCTTTTGTGTTGTAAATTCTTTGTTGCCAATTCTGTAGAAAAAACACGTGTCGCACGACGCGTCGAATTGCAGTGGTAATACTGGTTGGTCGTTTACGACACATCATCTGGCGTCTTTTCAAGTCACGTAAGTACAAGCATACACAAAGACGCGCACACCACAATTAAGCGTGGCATTAAAAACAATATTTCGAGGGAAGTTTTGCGGTGCAACACTACTGGAGACCACTATATATATTATATTAATTCGAGTGAAAAGGGGAAATCACAATAAAAAAAAATGATAACGAGTGTACGGGCGACGGACCGGAAACAGAGATGGCATAGTCGGTCGTGCTGGGTGCCTGTGTGCCACTCGTTATGGCAGAAACAGCGACGGCTACACACACAAACATACACACACACACATACACACGCGAGCGCGCATACAACGGATTACATTTTAAAATGCAACCATCCCTCTCTGGCCACCACCCCACACCCACCTACCCACGGCGGCTGCGGTTATAGTCATAATGATGATAATAATAATAATAATAATAATGCTAAGAATATACCACGGTATGTTTTAATATAACTCCGGACGGCCCGGGATATTTTAAATATGCAAAGTGGCGTTTTGTCCTGGAATTGTTCGGAGGGTTCCGGTGCAATAATAATCCCGCGTAAACCCGAATAGTTTCACCTCCTTCCACTCGTGTTTAAACACCGAAAATTAATAATTTAACGCTCATAATACCCAAACCGTTTACGTGGCCAAGTCGGACTTTTTTCTTTAGGTACTTTTTTTTTTTTTATTAAGCTTTTATTTTCTCGTACAAGCAATTTACGTGTGTAAAATATACACGCGAGCTGAACGATAGTACAACCGCTAGAAATATGCCCATGCGGGATAGTACAGTACTTCCTATCATTGTAGTCTGTAGAAATATTTGAGACCACGACTAACCTATCTGCTGTAAGGTCAATTAAATGTGGAATAATAATTGCAGTTAGTGTCAAGGAATTTATTTATGTTTGATTGCACTACCACCAGGATCAATTACACAAATTGACTTCATAAATACCTACAGTCTTAAAATAATTTTTAAATTACTGAACTTTTTTTGACAAATATATCTTAATTGAGCGACTACTGACTTGACTTATAAATATAGCCATACTTTTGATGTCATAATGGTATAAGTACCTTATAACATAATATTATTATATTTTCATGTTATAGTGCTACTAGTGTTATATCCAAAAGGATGTTGTGATGTATTCTAAATCGGTTAATAATATACCGAATTTAAATGTTAGTACAATTATAAAATTACTGACATTAATATATGTTTATAGTAAAATCATCGATGACACATAATATTAAATAAAAATGGGAATTGAAACTACTAAAAATATTACACCTATTAACTATGACATGAGTACAATGTAAGATGTTTCCGATGAAAATATATTTTAAACGACAACTTGATCGCTTAACAATGTTGTAAAGTATTAAATATATTATTATTTATACACTAATTTGATTAGTTTGAGCAGTGTCGCCCATATTTAATAATATCATATTATTAAATGAAATTTTCGTTATGATGTATACAACACTGTGTCAGTTTTACGAGAAAATAGATGGTTTCTAAGAACGATCTATATTCTATTTCTTCTATAAATTGAAGAGTTATTATAAGTTTCATTAAAAAAATATATATTTATACAATTATATAATCAGAAAAGTCTTAAGTTTTGTTTGCAAGTATTATTTAAGTGCCATACTTTGATGAATAATGGGTACTTATAAATTTAATTACGATCAACGATTATATTTTATAATATTTTTTTGAAAAAACTTGTATGAACAAAATATTACTGACAAAATAAGGCACGTGCCAGTTTACAGTTTTCTCATTTAAGACTTAAACGTACAATAGTAAACAATAAATACAATAAAAGGGTATCCCTTCCAGTAAATTACTCTATTTCTATTGGAAGGTGGTAAGTAACTTTACTTCACAAAATTCAAATTAATTTGAGTTGATTATGTTTTATTTATTTTTTTTATCTTTTATAGTTCTTTGTCTGAAATTGAAAAGTGTGGTATAATTTTGAAGAAAAAAAAATATAAACCTGCAATTTATATAGGTAGGTAGGTACTTATATTAATAAAAACACAATATTAGTATAAAAATAATTTAATAACTCTTGATAAGTAGACTATATCATATATTATTGTTTATTATGAAAGAATTTGCTGAATGGTTTATTTTTATACTATTGCTTTAAATATTTATGAATATTTTATTTCTATATTTTAACTGTATAATTTTAAGAAGTAAAATGTACTGACCAAAAATATCTTTATGATTAAATGATTTAATGAAATTGTCAATGAATTGCAGTTGAATTGAATTTTCATACTTTTTAAATGATAATTTATTGTGATAAAGGTAGGTACTTATATTAAGAAAAACACAATATTAGTATAAAAATAATTTAATAACTCTTGATAAGTAGACTACATCATATATTATTGTCTATTATGAAAGCATTTGCTGAATGGTTTATTTTTATACTATTGCTTTAAATATTTATGAATATTTTATTTCTATATTTTAACTGTATAATTTTAAGAAGTAAAATGTACTGACCAAAAATATCTTTATGATTAAATGATTTAATGAAATTGTCTATGAATTGCAGTTGAATTGCATTTTCGTAGTTTTTAAATGATAATTTATTGTGATGAACAGAATACAGCCTCGTACTTTAAGCTTGGCTTACAATCTACACATTTTCCTCATTAAAATTGCTTTGAATCAAACTTGTGTGTTTAATTATTTTGGACTAATGAAAAATATGTTATGAAATTTATACCAACAAAATATTATAATTTATGATGATAAGCTATTTGAATTACAACTAATATATGTTATTAAAAACAATGTTAGGTAATAAAATTCTATTTACTTAAAAATGCATCGCAAATCCTTCTCTATTTTTAAATTTTCATTCAACAAAGGAATTCACATTGAAATAACTGCTTCATTATTTTATCACGTACTTTTCCAAACGATACTATTTAATATCTGTTTATTTCATAAAACTTAAAGAGTTTTTTATTACATTGTCTAATGGATTAATGTATATTTCCTTCCTAATTAATCCTATATTAATATAGTCTTTGATCTAATTAACCCCAGGCTTCATTATTATTTCTTGGTATATCTAAAACATACAATTTATTAATATAAAACTCAGTCGTTGTATACGTCTCCTATCATTTAATGTCACTTTGAAGTAAACCAATAATCCATTAGATTATCAGAAAACCTATACCCATACAGTTAATGGAATGAATAATATTTATGTGAAACACTATTTTGACGAGTTCAGCTAGTATAATTGTTGACCAAAAGTATTATGATAAAAATCAATTACTTACATGAGGTGGTTCGAAGTTATACAGCTTAAATTAAAACAAATGTCTTTCAGAAAACTCTACTCTATATGCTTTCTTGTAACAAATTCAACTTTTATGATGGCTTACGGCAAAATAATTCATTGAGCAGATTATGCTCCCCATTTTGGTGGGTTGATTGCATAAAAACATATCGCAATAATTCGACCATCAGTAAAAAATAAACAAAGTTCATTAGAACAATGGAAAAAAATGTAAGAAGTTGGGTTAGCGTGACGTTGGTCAATGTCACGCGATTTTTCCGGCACAGTCGTC